ACTATACATGCCTTAAAATCAGTATGGGGCCAGGGAGAACTTGAAAGTTAATACCACTGAAATACTCAAGATCAACTAATCTAAAAAGCGTTCTTATTAGCTTCCCTTACCCACAACAGACATTTCTACTCCTATTCAGAGATCTACACACGTCCAAATGAGGTGAGTCTTCAATACTGTTTTGGGAAAGGATATAAGAAGCCCACAGAAACAGAGTTACTCAACATAGAGACTTTTGACAAGTCTTTACACACACACACACACACACAAAAGTGCTAATCCAGTATCTGTTAATGAATTAAAGAAAAGAATTGCTTGCTCGGATTTTTTTTCTTTTCAGGTATGAAAGAGATTCATTGAAATTATACATTATATATTTAGAATACAGCCCAGCTGTCACAACAAGAACCAAGACACTGTATTATAGCTGATCTTCAATGCTAACTTTTAAACAAAGTCAGTTCTCTCATACACGGAAACTGTGACAAATTACTGCAATGGAAGATACAGCAAGACATACAGATGTAGTTTCATTAATAAAGTGTGAAAGATTAAGCCCAGTTTGTACAGGGACTCCATTTTTGGCAGTTTTCTTGAAGGCGCTTCCACAGCCATAGAGACAGTGTCACCTGGACTGCAGAGCAATGCAGTACTTGTACATCTGCACTACTCCTGCTAGGAAAGGGCCCCAAGTGCCAACAGACTTGGAACACTCCCCAAATCGTTTCAACAGCAGCCAGCTTCTGAAATGCACATCCACACTAACCTTAACACCACTGAAGCACAGTGACTCGAAATAGCTTCACTGACCCCCATCTCTCCCAAAAAACAGACATATTCCTCAGGAATCAATAGAGGCTTCTAAGACTAACCCATGGGATCTAGCAACTTTATCTTCACTGAGGCTAGGAAAAATGTTTAACCCTTTGCTTTTGGTCAACAGCCACCTCTGTTTCAACACTAGTGATTCAAACCTGTTGGGTCACTCCAGTTTGCAGGTGAGAGGCAGGACACTGCAGGAACAAAAGTCTCATATAAGCAAAATACTGACACCAGCCCTGCAGTTCAGTTACCAGCGTGAATTAAACTATAAATTTCCTTTTTTAAGAGCCTTTTTTTGTCAGCCACATATAAACACGCAAAGTTAAGACATGGGATGGAATGATGTTACCACAGATACACGTCACAGCCACAGAAAATAGTCCTGATCTTCATTTGCTTTGTTTCCACTTTTCATGAAGATCTCCCAGGCATTGATCAGGCCTCTAGAAGGGCCTTCTGCATTATGAGAAGTATTTTGAAGAAGTAAGGAGGCAACACATGGTCTTTGAGAACTTACACTCCAGAACTTCCTCCTGCTGCAAAGCAATTCACTCAGCAAAATAAGCCAAGGAAAACCCCAGCCATTTTGATCATTTTCAGAAACAGGAACTTGTTACAACCAACTGCAAACGCAACAATGGTTTCAAATTCACTTCCCTAAATGAAAGCCTGATGGTCTGTGCAAAAGATTTTCTGAGCTAAGAAAGGAGCTGAGTTCAAATTTACCTATTTTTCTCTCACCTACCATGTGTTTTAACATTTGAAAATCAAGTTATTTCCCTTCTCCAAAAGCTTCTCCCTGTTGATACCAACAGAGCCCCCTCAATTCAAGGCAGGAGGCTGCCTTTTACTTGTCTCACAAAACTAAACCCTCAGTGAAGCCTTAACTCATCTTTCAGAACAATTCTGGAAGTGACTTATGTTGTACATTAGGATTAACCTTCCAATTGAACTACCACAGCTCAAATATCCTTAACGTACCCCACATATTTCATTCATCCACTCTGCAATGGCCCTTCTCGCTGCAAAAAAATCAAGTTGCTAATCCCCCCTTCTTCACAGAAACTTGTTCCTCATTTGCTGTATCTAATTGTAATTTACTTAGCACAACACAGTTAGCTAAGGGAAATGAATCCGTGTCATTGTGGTGACTTTAAGACAACTTTGTGGTGACCACAATTGAGTAAATCCAAAAGGGTGAGAGCTCTAACACGCCAACTGGAATGGCTTGCCCCAAACCATCAGAGCATCCTAGATTTACATTCCTTTTCTCCCCACAGGGACCTGGGAAATGCACTTAATGCCATCTGGCACTACTTCCTGCAGTCGCTGGAAATTCACTTGTACGAGAGCTGTAATTCGAGAAAATGGTAAATCTCACTAATGAGTATATGATAGCAACCTAATCATACTTCAGGACTTCTTTACAAGGCAGGCCCGTGCAGCACTCAGAGTCCATGCCAAAGGACAGCCACCACGCAGCATCCATATTAACATCTGCACTCACAAGCTATGCAAGCACAGAAAACCACACCAAGGTAAACACTCAGCAGCTCAGCTTTTGTTCACAAAAGACTTCATTCTGTTTGCTCCTCCCTTCCTCACATGCACTCATACCCAAATCATGCTTTTTACTCCTCAGTGCAAATTCCCTCTAAGTGGTGCTCACTAAAAAAACAAACTGACCAAAAAACCACTCCACACCTTGTCACCTGTCACCTTTCTATCGCCCTCTGGAACTAATACCTTGTGTAAAAAACATATGAGGACAGGCGTCATCCTCACAGGACTACTTAACTCATGTCAAGAGTTGATCTCTCCATTTAATTTACAAAGCCCAGCTGCTACACAGGGCAGCAGAAGATAAGTTGTGCGACATGACACCTAGGCAGTAAGACACTAAATAAAATTATGGAGCTCCCCAAAGACACAGAGCCCCCACACCGATAGTACATTTACAGCCCTTCATAAAGCAACACTCCCTGGTACCTTAAGTTTTAGTTGTTTGAATCCTTCGCGCCTTGACTCAAAACTTATCTTAAGGCACTGGGAAGTTTTACCTTTCACTCTCTTCTCCATGGGAGAGTACTGCCTCAAGCACTACTTACACAACTTGAAATGCAGTCAGCCACGTGGCTCAGATCCACCTCCACCTCACAGTATCACCTGTATGCATGGGGGCATTGCTCTTTCAGAGGATGAGCCTGATGTTTACTCTCCCACTACAATATATAAAGCTCATTTTAACACTTGCTCACAAGATATACATCAGAATTCATGGAATTGCCTATCAATTCAGTTATGATAAGATGCCTCAGGTTTAAGAGCCTGAGAATATTTTTTCTTCTAAAACATGAACTCATTTTTCATTTATAGTCCACAATTTTGTATGTGCATATCTCCCACTGACAAGATTCTATCTTTAATGATATCATATAGTTAAACTATCAACTGGCATACACAGCTTGGAAAAGAGAAGAAAAAAATGAAAAAATGATGTATCTTTCCACAAAATGATAACTTCTCTTTCTCTTGTGTGTCTTACATGCAGGTGGGTATGAAATTGCACGGAATGGCACCAGCTTCAGTCTCCCCCACGCTCATTTCCTGAAGCAGTAATGTTAGCACCAATATCCAAATACAGTCCCTTTCCAGACCCTAATATAGCACTGGTGAATTATTTCTACCTCACTTTAATCCCGCCTGTTCCAGATAGTACTTTTATTTTTATATATATAAATACACACACAGAGAGACACAGCATGCTTTTAAATACATGAGCTACACTTTTTTTAAGCTAAAGCTTTTAGTAACAGATACAGGAGGACAGTCCAGATACAACCTACAGATTAAGAAGCATCAACAGCTACCATACAGCAACAGAGGCGGCATCAATAAGCAATATGATCTTTTGAAATACACAAGAAAACAAGAGAGAGTATGTGACATCAAGACCACTGACCTATTTAACCAATGGTGTAGACTCAAGTCAGTCTTCAATCAATGCTGCTTACGTCAATATCTCTTAGACATATATAGTATAAATGCAATAGTATTTAAATATACTGGAAGACCAGCATGTTGTTTGCCACTTTAAGGGTTAGCTATGAAGTCATAAGAACTGAAATCTGGAATTATTTTTGAGAAGTTATACTACATCCTTTCAAGAAATACAGCATCATCAGAATTGTACTTACTTAGTTAATGCTGGTGCAGGTGCATGTAACAGCCAGCAGCCAAGAGACTGCTTAGTGTAAAACCTGCTGATCTTTACTTGAAGCTATTTCTTACCATGTTCAAATAAAAATAGGAAAAACCACTTCATTTTAGACATTAAAAACCTGCTGTTGATCTACTGAGTTCAATGCTGGACTACCGGCAAACAAGGCCGATTAACATCACACAATTAAATTATTTCACCATTCTACTCCTTGATGTCTCCAAGCAGGGACTGACAGTTGAGTGGGTTGAACAGAAATAAAATTGTCAAGACAAAACATCAGTAGCTCATTGTTTTTTAAGAAACGTTTTGACTTCAACCTTGTTTCATGCATTAACTAGCTAATGCCAGCCCAGAACACAAATCTAGGAGACAAAGCTACCAGCCATCTTCAATAAAGCACAATGCAAACTATTGGACAGCTCCTGAAGTTGCTGTCAGGTACCTGGGACCTCAACGACAGCCCTTAAACTCTCCAAATGCTGTCCCAATCTACAGTGTAGCATTATTCCAGTACCTTGCCATTTAAGCACACCATCGCTTAAACCTCCTCAGAAGTCTTCTCTAGAGATGGCCACGCTCCTACCAGTACCTGGCCAGCTCCTGGTGTAGCATTTATGTCTCTGTCTCACTTAATCCTGACTGAAGCAGGCAGTGACAAACATGCGTCCATTTTGCCCTGTGTCCAATTCCCTCCCCTCTCTCCAAGTCCTTGCTTCACACTGCCTTCCTGGAGGCAAGGGGTCATAAGGAGAGGGAAAAAAAAGGAAAAAATGGCCGGAAGAGCAGTATTATGCAATAAGAGAAGAAATTCAATAATAACTCATCCTCTCCTGGAGATTTCTCATAACCATTACAGTTTGCAAGCTTGCATCACAGCAAGCGCGGCAGCCGGACGGCTCAAAGGCAGACTAGAGAGCCCCAGGCCCTGGCGGGGGGTACCAAAAGGGATGCTCACAGTCCAGGTGCTTTTTCTTGGGCCCCATCACTTCATGCGTGGTGGCTTTGCAGACGGCTCTGGCTACGGCCGACCCCGTAACCCTGTACGGAGCAGCTGCGATGCGATCTGTCAGCGTCTGACCCGACATCTTCGCCTGGCGTGCCTGCTGCTGCCTGCTCTGCAGAGGCGGAAAAACACGGGAGGGGAAGGGGAGATTCCGGGTTTACGGCCCAGGGGAAGCGGGGGAGGGCACGGCAGAGACACGCACACGCAGGGACACGCGCACACACAGCCATG